GGCTGCTCCCGACTGGCTGGGACCTACAGCAGAGCTGAGAGCTCTCCAACTCCGGCACCTCCCACCTCCTGCCCCGCACACACACCAGAGCCAGGGAGGGGCCCTGCGTCCTGCAAAGCCCCTCAGCACTCAGCGGTGATCGGGGCCGGAGCATTAACCCCTCAGATCACTGCCTGCCGGGTGAGAGGCGGCCAGGCTCTGCACCTGTGACCCCATTATGTAACTGGGGAAACTGAGACCCAGGAGGGTTACAGTGGCCAGGCCCCCGGTTGCCTCCTCTCGGCTCACCTTCAGCAGCCTAGGGAGGGCTGGAGTTGTTCGGATGCGCAGCGCTGACCCAGGCCTCTCTGTCCCGCAGACATGTCCTTCCGCAAAGTGGTCCGGCAGAGCAAATTCCGGCATGTGTTCGGGCAGCCGGTCAAGAACGACCAGTGCTACGAGGACATTCGCGTGTCCCGTGTTACCTGGGACAGCACCTTCTGCGCTGTCAACCCCAAGTTCCTGGCAGTGATTGTGGAGGCCAGTGGCGGGGGTGCCTTTCTGGTGCTCCCCCTAAGCAAGGTGGGTCCTGTCAGGGTTGGGGGAAGAGGAGGCACCTCGGCCACCCCTGCTGGGCCTTTCTGCATACCTCAAATCCCGCATCTTGCCATTTCTCACACTGCTGGGCAGGCGTTATAACCCACATTTATTGCCCCAAGTGTTAGCACAGATAGAGAGTGGCCTGTTGCCATAGAGTCAGGATTAGAGGCAGCAAACATTTCCTGCTCACCTGGCGAGTGGGGCACAGTCACATCTGGGCCACCTGTGAGCCAGGACTTGCACGTCATTCCCACTCCATGGAAGGGAAGACCAAGACTCTGGGGGGGATGAAGCCCCCTGACTGCCCCCTCGTGCCCACAGACGGGCCGCATTGACAAGGCCTACCCGACGGTGTGTGGGCACACGGGACCTATCCTGGACATCGACTGGTGTCCCCACAATGACGAAGTCATAGCCAGCGGCTCAGAGGACTGCACGGTCATGGTGAGACACAGGACTGGCTGGGCCAGGGTCTCGGGCGTGGCTCAAGGGGGCCAGCAGTAGGGCCATCAGAGGACTGAGCCCGGTGGCCCTGTCCCTACCACAGGTGTGGCAGATCCCAGAGAATGGGCTGACCTCCCCACTGACAGAGCCGGTGGTGGTACTGGAGGGGCACACCAAGCGAGTGGGCATCATCGCCTGGCACCCCACGGCCCGAAACGTGCTGCTTAGTGCAGGTGTGCACCACCCCCCGTTTTGTCCCCCCACGGACCTCTCCATACATCCCAGCAGCCCCTCCAGGGCCCACCTGACAGATGGGAAAGCTGAGGCCCTCAGAGTTGGAGAGACCCAGTCTGTCCCAGGGTGGTGGGCAGAGTGGGCCTTGGCCTGGTGAGCTAATGGCCTCCTGCCACCCGCCTGGCCTGAGCTGACAGCCCTCACCTGCCAGGCTGCGACAACGTGGTACTCATCTGGAACGTGGGCACAGCAGAGGAGCTGTACCGCCTGGACAGCCTGCACCCTGACCTCATCTACAACGTCAGCTGGAACCGCAACGGCAGCCTGTTTTGCTCAGCGTGCAAGGACAAAAGCGTGCGCATCATCGACCCCCGTCGGGGCACCCTGATGGCAGTATGTGGCCTCAGAGGGCAAGGATGGCCGTGAATAGGCCCAGGGCCTTGAGCAGGGCACTGCACTGACCAGCCTGTCCCCCCCACAGGAGCGGGAGAAGGCTCATGAGGGGGCCCGGCCCATGCGAGCCATCTTCCTGGCAGATGGCAAGGTGTTCACCACGGGCTTCAGCCGAATGAGTGAGCGGCAGCTGGCACTCTGGGACCCAGTGAGTGGCCAGCTTAAGGGGGCAAGCTTGAGACTCGGGCCCCACCCTGGAGAGCTCTGCCCTGGGCCAGGCAGGCATGGTTCACCGGAGAGGCCTGTGGTTCCTAGGTTCTCTACCTGGCACTTGAGGCTCTCAGGGCTGGGGACTCTGTCAGCCTTTCCTCTCCTGCCCCCTGCTCGCCCAACTGCCCCGCCACTCCCCCATGGCCTCCCACTTCCTCCGTGTCTTTGCCCATGTTCATACCAATGAAAGGACCTTTCTCTCCCTTGGTTGCCTGTACCACCCACTGCCTATACAGGGCTCCCCACTCCTCCAGAAAGCCTCCTCCTCCAGCAAGCCTCCCAGCCCTGCCCTGAAGCGTCCTCTCCCCCAGCCCTTTCTGCTTCTGCACAGTGACCTCCAGGGCCCCTTGATCTGGGGCTGGTGCTGCTGGCACCCCAGGCTCCCCACGGTGGGGTATGCGTCAGCACTTGTTCAGTGGCCTGGGCATAGTCTTAAGGCCTGGAGGAAGCTGGAAAAGAGGGACCCTGGAAATAAAGTGGAGCCAGGAGGGCCAGGTGGGGGTCGTCATGTGGGAAAAGGCATAGAGGCAGCAGAGGGCCCACCTGCATTTAGGGGGCAGTGCTGGCTGGCCTTAGTGAGGCCCGTCCTGGTTTGGGATTAGGGGGTGAGGAGGTTCTGCTTGGCCTGACTGCCCCCAATGTGCCAGGAAAACCTCGAGGAACCCATGGCCCTGCAGGAACTGGACTCGAGCAACGGGGCCCTGCTGCCCTTCTACGACCCCGACACCAATGTGGTCTACGTCTGCGGCAAGGTGGGGCTGGGCAGGGCTGGGCAGGGCTGGCGAGGGGCAGGGAAGAGGCATGCCCGGGTGCTGAGCCCCCTCCCCACACAGGGCGACTCCAGCATCCGGTACTTTGAGATCACAGAGGAGCCCCCCTACATCCACTTCCTGAACACATTCACCAGCAAGGAGCCCCAGCGGGGCATGGGCAGCATGCCCAAGCGGGGCCTGGAGGTCAGCAAGTGCGAGATTGCCCGGTAAGAGGGCCAGTGAGGCCACTCAGGGACAGGGGCATCCAAGGTAAGAGGTCAGGTCGCTGGAGGCTGCTCGGGAGCAGGCTGAAACCTTGGGCCAAGGAGGCCCGGCGGGCCATGGGAACTGTCACGAGGCAGCCTGTGTGGCGGTCTAGCCGCCTTAGGGGTCAGCCTGTGGAGGTCCTGGGGTGAGGACTGGAAGTGGAGGATGCTGGGAGCCAGGAAAGCTGGTTGGGGGGGGGGCGGGTGTTCCACCCATGGCTGCTCCTCGCATCCCCAGGTTCTACAAACTTCACGAGCGCAAGTGTGAGCCCATCGTCATGACTGTGCCAAGAAAGGTGAGGCCACCCGTCCCTCTGCTCACTCGCCCCTTTCTCCAGCAGGCGGGCCATGCAATTGTGACTAGGGCAAAGCCTGTGAATGGAACATGACCTAGTATGGTTTGTGGACAGTGAGCTGGACAGATGCCAGCTTGCCCTTGTACCAGCCAGCTGTTGGGCTGTGCCAGTCAGGGGGCAAGTGGGGATGAGACACAGGATGAGCCACAGGAGGAGAAGGATGCCAGGCAGTCAGGGAGGGAGTGGCAGCCAGAGATCTTCCTGAAGGAGGCAGTACCCATAGCACAGCTGGGGTAGCGTCATCCACTGGGGGCAGGCCAGGCGAAGGGCACGGTGGTGGGAATGGAGAGAGGAACACGGAGTCTGGCTACAGTGGGGAATCCCATGAAGAGGGGACCGGGCCACATGTGGCTTGGCCTCAGATACCAAGAGCCTTGGACACGCTTCCATGATTCTCTGGCCAGCGTTTGCCGACTGCTCTTTCAACATGCCAGGCCCATTTCGGGGAGTGAAGCTGAGAGCTGAGCTGATAGGGCCTGCTCCAGGAGCTCACAGTCCATGGACCCCAGAATCCCACAAAGCCACACAGTGGCCCCTGTGGCCTGCAGGGGAAGGTGGTGACAGGGGCCTTGCTCAGAAGGGTGGGAAAGCTTCAGAGGGAGCTGTTGGCGGCATCCAGAAGGGAAGTGAAAGGCCAGAATGGAGCTTTCGAGAGGCCCCTTGGGGCCAGGCCATGGGAGAATGGGTTAACAGTGCAAGCCTGGAGGCCCAGGGATGAGGGGACCCTATGGGGCCTCCCAACTGATCCTGACGTCCCGGCCCCCTACCCAGTCGGACCTCTTCCAGGATGATCTGTACCCTGACACAGCCGGGCCCGAGGCAGCCCTGGAGGCTGAGGAGTGGGTGAGCGGGCGGGATGCTGACCCGATCCTCATCTCGCTGCGGGAGGCCTACGTGCCCAGCAAGCAGCGGGACCTGAAGATTAGCCGGCGCAACGTGTTGTCTGACAGCCGGCCCGCCGCGGCCCTGGGCTCCTCCCGCCTGGGGGCCCCTGCAGCCACCACCACTGCTGCTGATGCCACTCACAGCGGCAGCCTGACCAGAGCCGGGGTATGCACTCGCAGGCAGGGGTGATGCTGGGAGCCCCTCCTGTGGCCCTGGCCTGCTGTGTGGGCCTGGGCCATTTGCTCTCCCTCACTGGGGTAGTGGTGGGTTTGGGAGGGCTATGGCTTAGCAGACCCTGACTACCACCCCCTACCCCCACTTCATGTCCCCACAGGAGGCTGGGAAGCTGGAGGAGGTGATGCAGGAGCTGCGGGCCCTGAGAGCGCTGGTCAAGGAGCAGGGGGAGCGCATCTGCCGCCTGGAGGAGCAGTTGGGCCGCATGGAGAACGGGGATGCGTAGGGCCACAGCCACGCGCCACCTTCATCTCCTCCTCCGCCCCCTTCCCACTCAGCTTCTGCCAGCGGGTCGCACCGGGCTGGCTGGCTGCCCAGGGCCTCCGAGGCAGCCCAGGGGTCAGTTCCCACCCTGACCTGTCCCAGGCCCAGGCCGAAGCCACCACCCAGCTTTCTTCACTGTTCCTGTGGAGGATTTCCATGCCCAGGCGAGCTCCTCCTCCTCTGAGGGACCATCTCCCCGACCACTGCCCAGCCCTCTGCTCCCCCCCGAGAGGAGGCGGGAAGGTGGGCTCTATATTTTCATTCCAAATAAAATTCTCTTTCTAAAAGCCGGGCTGACCTGCCGCTGCAAGGGTGGGGCTGAGAAGTCTGGAAACCTGGAGACAGATGATGTCGCAGGAGTCACCCATGTGCTGGTGTGGGGGCAGTGAGCAGCCCCACAGACATTGCTCCCCTGGATTGTCAGGCAGGGAAACTGAGGCAGAGGACCTGGGCACACATGCAAGGCTGCATCCAGCTTGAAGTTGGTGCTGCTTCTCCCTTGGAGGACAGGCCCCGCAGCCCAGCCTCCTCCAGGAAGACCGGGGAGGGTCTGGTGTGGACCAGGGGTCCTGCAGCAGGGAGGGGCAGATGGGGTATGTGGGCAGGAAGCGGAAGCCCGGGCCACCCTTCACTGCAGACGAGCACTGAGCTCACTTCTCGCTCAACACAGCCAGAGCTGGAGGTGGGTGCCCGGCGCGGAGGGGCCTGTGGACGAATGGTGAGCCTCAGAACCCCCGGGTTCTTGGGATGGGGGCCACAGGCGGTCGGGGCTAGACTGTCTGGGCTGGTGGAGCTGAGGAGGGCCCCACACTGGCTCCGGGGAAGAGGTGAGACCTAAGAGAAGTATGGCAGAGGCTGGACCTTTCTCTCACCTGAGCTGGGCTCTCTGGGACTCCGGGCATGGCCCCCGGCACCCCACACCGGACCAGGCCCCCCTCAGGAGCCCGGGGAAGGCCCTCACCTGGTCTTCCTGTGAGCGGGAACTTGCATTCCTGGAACCTGGGTGGACAGCCTGGGGTGCTGGGGGAGGCTGGCTGCACCTCAGCACCCCTCCCCCGACACCCCCCACCTAGCCTGTTCCGACCGCAGACTTCCTCTGGCAGCTGCGCCCGCCTCCCCCAGCCCCGGCCCTGCACGCCTGGGGCCCTCAGGGACTGGGAGTGGAACGGAAACCCTGCAGCTGGGGCAGCCCCATGGTGGGGAGGGAGGAAGAGGGGCCTCCCAGACCCCTGCTTGGGGACCTGGCCAAGCAGAAGATGAACAGTTGCCTCGGGGTGGGTCCAGGCCCCTCCATCCTCCATCCTCCATCCCAGGCCTCAGGGAGAGCTAGCCCTGACACCAGCTAGCAACCTCTTTCCCTCCCTCCCATCTCCTCCCCAACCCACCCAGGCAGCCTAGACACGTTTAACCCACGCTTACTGACTACCTACTAACATGCTTGACCCAAAAAGCCCCCTTCTCCTAGCAGCTTATTGTGGGGGGTAGATAATAGACATAAAAAATGAGTACAATTATCTCGATTGGGTGGCATGTGAGGAAAAAGGCGCTGAGTGCTAGGGGGTGCTGGGGTGGGCTGCAGTGATGGACATCAGGGTAGAGGTTAAGGTCAGGTTCAGCCTCACTGGGGTGACCTTTGAGTGCAGTGAGCTGGCCATGCAGCCTGGGGGAGGGGAGGGTGGGAGGAGGTGGAGCTTTCAGGGCAGAGGGAACAGCCAGTGCGAAGGCCCCAGGCAGGTGGCTCTATGCAGCGGTTGGGGGAGGCGAGTGGTAGGGAGGAGGTTGGAGGAATGGGGGCTGATCTCACAGGGCCAGAGCCTGGTTGACCAAATAAGGCCTTGGTCTTCTCTGCTTGGCTGTCCCAAGAGGATCCCAAAGAGAAAAAAAGGAAAGTGGTCTTGATCACCCAGCCTGCCCTGCACCAGGCCCCACCCCAGGTGCTGAGCCCTCTGAGCCCCTGCCTGTCTCCCACAGGCTCTGCCCTGCACCCTAGGGCTCGGGATGCTGCTGGCCCTGCCAGGGGCCTTGGGCTCGGGTGGCAGCGCGGAGGACAGCGTGGGCTCCAGCTCTGTCACCGTTGTCCTGCTGCTGCTGCTGCTCTTGCTGCTGGTCACCGGCCTGGCACTGGCCTGGCGCCGCCTCAGCCGTGACTCAGGGGGCTACTACCACCCGGCCCGCCTGGGTGCCGCGCTGTGGGGCCGCACACGGCGCTTGCTCTGGGCCAGCCCCCCGGGCCGCTGGCTGCAGGCCCGAGCTGAGCTGGGGTCCCCAGACAATGACCTTGAGCGACAGGAGGATGAGCAGGACGCAGACTATGACCACGTCACGGATGGTGGCCTGCAGGCTGACCCCGGGAAAGGCGAGCAGCTATGTGGAGAGGCGTCCAGCCCAGAGCAGGTCCCCGTGCGGGCTGAGGAAGCCAGAGACAGTGACACGGAGGGCGACCTGGTCCTTGGCTCCCCAGGACCAGCAAGCGCAGGGGGCAGTGCTGAGGCCCTGCTGAGTGACCTGCACGCCTTTGCTGGCAGCGCGGCCTGGGACGACAGCGCCAGGGCAGCTGGGGGCCAGGGCCTCCATGTCACCGCACTGTAGCAGCTGGTCTTGGTGTCCCATCTCTGCCACGGCCACTCACTCCCTGTGCCTCTGCTTCCCAAGATGCCATGGCTGGATTGGACCCCCACCCCACATGACCACACCTCAGACTGTCACCCCCCACCAGTTCCCAAGTCCACGTGTACCCCCCTCACCACGGGAAGGGCCCCACCCCCACCCCCACCGGCATCAGGCAACCATTTGAAATAAAACTCCTCCAGCCTGTGGCCCTGTGGTCCTACAGAGACCCCTCCCTCCCAGACCAGGGGCTCCCCCGGCCCAATCCAACCCACCCCCGCCCCCAGGCGTGCAGCGCAGAGAGTCAGGGAAGCGCCATGATTCAGACCTTTAATCGTCCACGGGAGCAGCCAGCTGAGCGCAGGGCATGGTGGGCAGCAGGGCTCTGGCCCCAGCAGTCGTAGCCTGGAGCCCTCCATGCCCATGATTCAGGGGCACAGCTGCCCCAGCAGGCACACACTTTCGCACGCACTCGCTCCCCACTCCCAGACACACCCCCAGGTCTCTGAAACTGGCCCAGGCTCCTGCTGCCCTCACAGCCGCAGGGATAGGGCTCAAGGGCTGCCCTCAACCCCACCCAGCTTCCTAGCGTCCTGGACGCCCACGGCCCCTCTTGGACTTCTTGGTCCCTGACGGGGGACGGATGGGGAGAGGGGCGGTGATGGAGGGTGGCGGTGGCGGCGGCGGTGGCAGGAGTGGAGGTAGAGGTGGCTCCATGGGCTCCGGCAGGCTGGGGCTGGGCCGAAACCCCTCAAAGGGGGAGAACTTGAGGGGGCTGCAGGGGAAACCAAGGCAGAGTAAGGGCCTCCTAGGCCCTGCCAGGGCCTGCCAGCACTCGATCAGGGAAGGCAGACTTTCCCACCTGCCCAGGCACACAGGCCGTGGGCTCTACAAACTCCCACCTAGGCAGCCTGGCCGCAAGGGGGGTAGGGACTGAGGTCCCCATGGTAGACACAGTAACCTAAGCCAACACTGGCTGACAGACGTGGCCCAAGCACCCAAGGCTGGAGCTGGCGTCCTGCCTGCTAGTGTCCCTATCCCAGCCACACATCCCCACATCCCTCAGTACCTGATGGGGGCCCGGGGGCTACTGTTGAGGCGCCTGGGTGAGCGCAGCTTGGGCTGGAAGGAGAAGCCCTCCTTGATGCTGTCCAGGACAGACGGCGCCACGTACGTGAAGCCCTGGGGGCGGAGGCAGGGCCATGCGACACTCAGTAACTTCCATCCTTAGCCACCATCCCTGCCCTGGTCCCACAGCCCCCAGGCCCCGCACTCACCAGGAAGGCCTGGTTGGCACTCTCACTGAGGGCCATGTCATCGGGACTGTCCACCGGCGTCTGCCGTGTGAAGCGGGTATCAAACTGGCTCACGTCCTCCTCCGACTGCTGTGGGCCGACCAGATAGGGGAGGGGTCAGAGGGCACCAAGATGCGGGTTCTCCACTTGCCACCCACCACTGGCCACTGTCCACTGGGCCTGCTGCTCACCAGACAGGGCCTGAAAGGGGGGTCCACACGCCGGGCCAGAAGGTCGTCCCAATTCATGTGCCGGAAAAAGGGATGCCTCTGTGGGTAGAGAATGCCCCAAACCCACTAACAGCTCACCCTGCTTGCCCCCTTGGTCACCCTTGGTCACTCCCTCTGCCCTGGGGCCCTACCCCCATTCCTGGCACCCTTGGAGACTCAGCCCTACCCCTGGTGGTGGCCCCAAACCCACCTGCACATCAGCAGCATCCCCTGGACCACCCCCAATCCTCTGGCTGGGATTCCGTTTCAGAAACTGCGGGAGCAGGACAGAGGGTGAGGGACTGGGCAGGTACTGTTCCTGTGTCCCCACGTCCCAGGGCTAGCCGGAGTGGGGGTCAGGTGACATGGGAGAGAATGCCTTTGGGTGTGGTTCCCACCTGTGGATACCCTGGGGACTTTCAAGTTTTGGTCAATGGAGCCACCTTCTCCGCAAAGGCTTTGCAGAGGCTCCTGGGCCCTGGCATTGCCCCAGGGCGCTTTGGTGAGGCGCCAACTCCCCATGTGGCTGCCTGGCCTCCTCCTAACACCTCTGATGTTCGCCTTTGATGGAAGTGTGGCCAGCTCATCACAAGCACGTCCCCAGTTAGGACTCAGCCTAAGGCCTGGGCTAGGGCAGCAGCTGGTCTGTGACAGAGCTGAGACCTGGGCTGAATCCCGGACTTCAAGGGAGGGGCTCCTTTTACTCCCAGAGGCAAACTGCACAGGCCAGGGTGGCCCTGGCCTCCCCACAGCCCAGAGAGACTCAAGAACACATGCTGAGTGGCTGGCAGGGCCCCAGAGAAGACAGAAAGGAGTCCCACCTTTTTGACAAGGTCCCGGGCATCTGGGGTGAGGTAGGGGGGCAGCGCCAGCTTGCCCTTGATGATCTTATCCATGGTTTTCTTCCGGTTCTCTGCAGTGAAGGGGGGCTGGAGGAGGAGGAAGGTGAGAGGGGCCTTGTGGGCCTCCCACCAGGCCCTGCCCTTGCCCCAGTAGGGGGGCTCCTCCCACCCCTGCCCCTGCCCCTCCTCCTCCCAGGAGGCTGGACTTGCCGATCCAGTGAGCATGTCGTACATCAGGGCCCCCAGGCTCCACCAGTCCACAGCCCGGTTGTGGCCACTGCGCACCAGAATCTCAGGGGCCCTGGGGTCCAGGTGGAACTGTCAGTCAGGCCATGCCCCTTCGGGCTGTCCTCCCGACCCCTGGGCCAGCCAGGTGCCACTTACATGTACTCAATGGTGCCGCAGAAGGTGTGAGTGACGGCGCCCTCATGGATCGACTCCTTGCAGAGTCCAAAGTCAGTCAGTTTGATGTGGCCTGAGGAAGAGTGTGGAGAGGCATGACCAGGGCCCCACCGCACCCACAGAGCTCCTCGGCCTCCCCACAGATTGCAGACCCCGCCTGCAGCTGCACGCGCACACAGGCGCAGAGGCATGACCAGGGCCCCACCCCACCCACAGAGCTCCTCGGCCTCCCCACAGATTGCAGAGCCCGCCTGCAGCTGCACGCGCACACAGGCGCACCCTGGCTGCTGAGCATGATGTTCTCGGGCTTGAGGTCCCGGTAGATGATGCCCTGGGAGTGGAGATGGCCCAAGGCCAGTGTGATCTCGGCCAGGTAGAAGCTGCAGAAACAAGACAGGGTGATGGCGGGAGCAGGGCAGGGACCTGGCGGCCTCAGGAAAGTGGAGGAGTAACACCCACCAGGCTGTATCTTCCAGGAAGATGCCCTCTCGCTCCAGATGCATGAAGAGCTCGCCACCTGCCACACAAACACGTCAGCAGCCACATGCTGGGTCCAAGTCCCTTTACACTTTCTGAGTCTATTTCTTCTTGGGGAAAGCGGGGCTCATAATTCCTGCCCTACCTGCCTCACAGAGCTGCCGTGGGGATTCAATTCAATTCAGCAAACATCTACCGACGCCTACTCGGTGCCTGGCCCTGTGCTGGGTGAAGCTGGGGACAGGATGAAGAGACCCAGCCACTGCCCTCAGGATGCTCAGTCTACTGGGGAGACAGACATGTACACAACAGCTCTAATACACCAGGCCCAGGCCACAGCTCCAAGAGCTTAGCCCAAAAGATCTCGCAGAGGAGACAGGGAAGACAGAGTGAATCCCAACACAACAGAACAGAGAAAGTGCGGTTTGCTGGGACTTTAAGGGGATACTGTGATGAACGGAGCGAATGTAGAGCATGGAGGCAGAAGCTCGCAGGGTTCATCTGGCCCAAACGAGGGAAAGGCAGGCCAAGACTGCTCACAGCCAGCAGGGGTCAGCTGGCCTAGGGGTGAGGCTTGATCTGGGCAGCAAGCCACAGGACTGAATAGAAGGTCTGGGAGCAGCCCCAGGCTCTATGACCTTAGCAGTTGGTGGAGGAGACACTAGAAAGCAGGTGAGCAGGAGGCCTCAGCCCAGTTAGAAAAGTGCTCTGACCAACTCACCAGGCCCCTGAGAGTGGACGGATAGAGTAGGACGCTACAATGAATGAACCAGTTGGACTGGGGACTTGACAGGATGCAGGGCACACAGGAGAGAAGAACAAAACAGGGAGGGGAGTAGGAAGAGACACAACCATCCTCTGGACTTCTACCCAAATTCCCACCATGCCCATCCACCCCCAACACACGTGAGGGACACAGTAGGGGCTGGACAGACGTTTGCTGAATGAATGAATGGTGGGACAGATGCACGGATGGATGGGCGGATGGGTAGGACAGAGTGGGGGCCCCTAGCCAACCCCCACAGACTCATCTCTCAAGAGCTTCCCCCCAGAGCTTCCTATGCTGGCTCCCTGCCCCCGCCACACACCCCTGCCTGGGCCCGCACTCATACCACTGAGGCACTCAAGGATGAGGTAGAGTTTGCCACCAGTCTGGAAGGCATAGGCCAGTTCCACAATAAAGGGGTGCTTCACAGACTCTAGAATGTTCCGCTCAGCCCGTGTATGTGCTGTGTCCTTGGCGTTGCGCACAATTTTGGCCTGGAGATACAGGAATTGGTTAGAAACTAGGGCATCCAGGCTGGGCGCGGTGACTCACACCTGTAATCCCAGCACTCTGGGAGGCCGAGGCAGGTGGATCACCTGAAGTCAGGAGTTTGAGACCAGTCTGGCCAACATGGCAAAACCCCGTCTCTACTAAAAATAGAAAAATTAGCTGGGTACGATGGTACACGCCTGTAATCCCAGCTACTCAGGAGGCTGAGGCAGGAGAATTGCTTGAACTCAGGGACAGAGGTTGCAGTGAGCTGAGATCCCGCCACTGCACTCCAGCCTGGGTGTGAGTGACGGCGCCCTCATGGATCGACTCCTTGCAGAGTCCAAAGTCAGTCAGTTTGATGTGGTTGAGACTGTTTCAAAAAAAAAGAAAAAAAAAAAGGCCGGGCGCAGTGGCTCAAGGCTGTAATCTCAGCACTTTGGGAGGCTGAGACGGGCAGATCACGAGGTAAGGAGATCGAGACCATCCTGGCTAACACAGTGAAACCCCGTCTCTACTAAAAAAAAAAAAAAATTAGCCGGGCGAGGTGGCAGGCGCCTGTAGTCCCAGCTACTCGGGAGACTGAGGCAGGAGAATGGCATAAACCCGGGAGGCGGAGCTTGCAGTGAGCTGAGATCCGGTCACTGCACTCCAGCCTGGGCGACAGAGCGAGACTCCGTCTCAAAAGAAAAAAACTGGGGGCATCCAGAGCTCCTCAGACCATCCATC